ATTTTTATTTTTTACCGAAAAATAAGGAGATGGCTCCATGTGCTCTGAGTCATTATGTGGATTCAGATTCAGGAACACTACCAAAGTTTTTCAAGGGGGGTTATCTTGACGTAGGTCTGCCTCTGGACTAGATTAACCTAAGTGAAATGAAGTCTCTATCGCTCTATTTAAAAATCAAATATGAAACTTCGTACACCTTAAAGTTCATAGGACGAAAAGAGATTTTTTTTGAGGCCCTTATGCTCAGCCTAGCATTGAATAGACCGGGTATTCACCTTATCAATATATCAAATCAATGATGGGGTCTGTTTGACACCTAACTGGGCACCTAAACGGACAGAACCCTTGTCAGGCTATTGTTCTCTTCTTACCTCAAAGTTATGGAGTAAGACATCGATTTGTCAATAAGATCAATTTTTTTTGATTCCATGATGGACTCCCCTGAAAAACATCGGCGCGCGTGTAAACGAGGTGCTCTACCAACTGAACTATAGCCCTTAGTGCTTGTAATATATATTTTATTATGTCGATAATTTTTTGTCAAGATGAATATTCTCAAGATGACTATTCCATGATCCAAGATCATATTGATCGGTATTGCTTCTAAGTAATATGATATTTATAATCCATCGATGGGATGAGTCCCTTTTGGTTTTCTTTGTGAAGATAAATGACCTACTTAACTCAACGTTAGAGAGATTGCTTTCATACGACGGGAGTCATTGGTTCAAATCAAATCCAATAGTAGGTAGAACTTATTAGATACCGCGGTCCATGGTATTTAATAAGTTTTTATAACCCATTTTCTTTTAGTGTATTGATTTTTATCTTTTCTATTTCTTTTTCGTTGCAATCAAAATCTGATTTTGCTTGATTGTATTTACTCGACAGAATCAAGTCAAATAAAACAACCCAAAGGGTGTATAAGTGTATAATCGATAATTATTTCGGACGCACCTACTGGTTACGAAATCGCATTGATAGCTCTACCCGTGTCCTAGCCCGTCGGAGAGCTAGATTTGCCTCAATTGTTTGTCTCTTTCCTTCAACTTTTGCTCAAAGCAGCTTCCGCTATTTCAGAGTTTGCTGAGCTTCTTGTGATCATGGTCACCACTTTTCTCTCTGCATCATTTACTAAAACAGTGATCTCATTATTACCTATTCTAGCAAAACCGCCCATCAGAGCCATCGTTAGCCATTGGTCGTTAAGGCGTATTCTCAAAATACCTATATCTACTGATGTGGCAATAGGAGCGTGATTTGGTAATACGCCAATTTGTCCACTATTAGTAGATAAAATTTCTTTCACTTCTGAATCCCAAACTATTCGATTAGGGGTCAGTACACAAAGATTTAAGGTCATTTCTTCAAATTGCTCTCCATTTCTAAGTTCATAGCCTTCGTCGTAGCTTCATCGATGTTACTTACCAAATAAAAGGCCTGTTCAAGAAGACCATCTAATTCTCCGGAAAGGATTAATTGAAAGCCTCTAAATGGTTTCTGCTAAACCAACATATTTCCAGGAGAACCTGTAAATACTTCTGCTACAAAAAAAGGTGTGATAAGAAACGCTCAATTTTTCGCGCTCTTGCTACGGTTAAACGATCCTCTTCGATAATTCGTCCAATCCAAGAATAGCTATAATATCTTGAAGTTCTTTGTAACGTTGTAAAGTTGGCTTAACCTCTTGTGCAGTGTCATAATGTTCTTCACCAACGATCCGGGGTTGTAGCATAGTTGACGTTGAATCTAAAGGATCTACTGCTGGATAGATACCTTTGGCGGCTAATCCCCTTGATAGTACGGTAGTAGCATCTAAATGTGCAAATGTCGTAGTAGGAGCAGGGTCGGTCAAATCATCTGCAGGTACATAAACAGCTTGAATAGAAGTTATGGACCCTTCTTTGGTAGAAGTAATCGTTCATGTAAAGAACCCATTCGGTACTAAGGGTAGGTTGATAACCCACAGCGGAAGGCATTCTACCCAACAAGGCTGATACTTCAGATCCTGCTTGGACAAAACGGAAGATATTGTCAATAAATAAAAGTACATCTTGTTCATTAACATCTCGGAATATTCCGCCATATTAGGGCAGTCAAACCAACTCTCATACGAGCTCCCGGCGGTTCATTCATCTGACCGTAAACTAGAGCTACTTTTGATTCTGGAATATTTTTTTCATTATTACTCCAGATTCTTTCATTTCCATGTAAAGATCATTTCCTCACGAGTCCGTTCACCGACTCCGCCAAATACAGATACGCATCCGTGAGCTTTGGGCAATATTGTTAATCAATTCCATAATGAGTACTGTTTTAATACCACGCCAGCTCCCCCCGAATAGTCCGATTTTTCCTCCACGGCGATAAGGGGCTAAAAGATCTACTACTTTAATTCCCGTTTCAAAATAGATAATTTTGTATCTAACTGTATAAAGGCAGGCGCAAATCTATGAATAGGAAATGCTGTACTAGTATCTACAGCACCTAAATTATCAAC